AGTGTTTTAAACAATTGTGAAAGAGAGAAAGGGGAGAGTTAAAACTAAGGAGGTTTGAGCAATGCTGTGTGTAAACCAGAGAGGTCTCAAAATAAGTCACATGTGACCACAAGGTGTCACTGTAATAAAAGTTTAAAAGACTATTTCTTTCTGTTTAAACTCCTTTGGTGAGACTGTTAGTCCTAGTTTATGTTGTGCTTGTGTACTAAACTCCCCAGATTTATGGAATCGTTCTCGTTTACTGGTTTTGCTATAGAGAGAGCAAGTACAGAGATGGTACATTAAATCAGAAGGAAACTGTCACTTAATTTTCTGTGTTTCATCTGACATTGGATGATGCTGAATTTTAACTGAGGGGAGTATTTGCCTAACCAGACCAATTTATAGTTTGAAATTGTAATGCTATTTTGACAGTAATACTGGAATTTGAAAAAGGTAATGAAATAGGAAAGGGGTCAATTTTTATCTGCATTTGCTACTGTTTTATTGGTTTATCTCTTCTTGAGATATTGTGATATGACTAATCAAGAGGAATTACTATTTAATTATTACTGCATAGATTTTTTGTTCTAAAGCATGTTTCTATTAAAAGAACTGATAATGCTGTAAATGTGGGAAATTATTTAATTATGTTCTTTTTCCTTTTTTTTTTAATTTGTTTTAGATTGAAAAATGTTGAGGTTTTCTAATACTAATAGGGTGATTTAGTAGTGGTATAATATGCCTAAGTGCTCCGTGTTTCCCTTAGAGTACTTGGCTGCTATAGAAAGTGTGGAGTAGAATTATTTCTACTTTCAAAGATGTACTTGTGCATTAAATGTATTTATCAGGGCAGAGAGAATTTCTTGCGTTTCCTTTTATCAGGCATTGGTGATATTGAGTGTTTTTTTTGTTCAGTGCTTCAACAGTTTTTGCTACTAATGATTACACCATTTGTAATCCTCTGCCTGAGTGGAGACAAATTAAATTGTAGACCCTGTCTCCTGAGCATTGAAAAACCCAAAACATAAAAAGAGTAAATGTTTCAGTACTCGCACAGTTCTAAACTAAGAAATGTTGGTAGTTGTGCTCAATTATTTTGTAGGTAGTGACATGTGAAGAGATGTGATTTTCAAGTATAGGCTAGACAAGATTTTTTTCCTTTAATTCTCTTCTTGGTCAGACAGCCTCGCATACCTGTGCTTTATACTGGCGATGGTGTAGTTATTTTATTTTTCTTTCCACTTGGTAGAGTCACTCATTGAAATTAGCTAGTGATTAGACAGCAATGTCTCACTTTCAACCTTACCCGTATGTCTCTGACATCCTTATTTGTAGTAGGTAGCCATTTTGCAGTTCTCTTGTGCTTGGTGGAAACTTAGAGATAATTTACCAAAAGGTGTTTCAATTGTGGTTCAATTTAAGAAGATGTTGAAACAAGTGAGGAGTTCACTCTTGAGGAGTTGAAGCACTGTCCCAGGTACTTGAACTAAACTGTGAAGAAAGCAGTGTCTGCAGATCCAATTTAGCACTAGCTTTTTTAAGCAAGTAATTTTCCTTTCTTCCCCAGTGGAAAACAGTGGTGTTTACAAAAAGCACACAGACATCCAAAAGAGGCTTTTAACTTAAAATGCGAACTGAAATACGTAGACTAAGAGTTGCTGGCGGGAGCTCTGGTAAGGCCTTCAGTCAGTCTGAAAAGCATTTGGAAAATTTTTCAGTGTTAAGTCATTAATATCCTTATGAAAGGACTTCTTGCAAATGGAATGATTAAACCTGGGCAGCTGAAACCATCTTTAGTTACCGCACTTCAGAAATACAAATGGTTGTGTAGGTAACATGTTGATTAGTTATTTTATTCGTACTGCGCTTTGGGAAGCATTGACTGTTGTGTAAATATTTTATTTCTAACTGTGCAGATATGCTGATGTTTCAGAGTTTAGGGGGGAAAAAATAAACCAAACCTTGCTGCACAATACAAATTAGCTTTTCTTCGTATCTAGATAACTGAAATCTTAAAATCTTTTCCTAATTCTAATGTTGCATGTAATGCAGTGATAAGATCATGTCCAGAGTTAAGTAAAACTTATCTTGGTTTGTATTACAGAAACATATTATTGAAAGAAAGCAGTTTTGAAACGTCACTCCAGACCTTTGAGGGTTTTCACTGACGTTATTTGCACAAATCAATTTTCACTGCAGGCATGCAGTTTTCTTTTCTGTTTTGTGGAGGTGAGAGCGAAGAACTAATCACTCTTTCTAGTAGAACGTGATCATATTGAGGAGTTTTTATTGGCAAGTTTCCAATACCTTACTTTTTAACTTTGTGAAATACAAGGAAATGATTTCCTGAAGTCTCCATTTTAGTGGCTAGCTTTTTCTTGATTATCTTTCTATCTTTCAGGGTTTAAACATCTTTTTTTTCCAGTGTGTGTGAAATCTGGCATTTTATTCTTTTCCAAAGATAAGGTGGTAGTCTCAGATTTTTCAAACAATGTAGATCATCTACAGAGGATCAAGAAAGCTATTGCCTTTTCAGGAACGGAGCGTTTATTGATTTAAAAGATCCCTTTCTTCATTTCAGGTTATGTATACTTTTGATCTTAAGCTTGTACTTCTAATTTTGGCTCCAAATGTGGTCCTAGTGATATAGAAGCTCATTTCTCTCCAGGTGTAATCAATAATGTTTTTCATCAAAAACTTTTTCAAGGCAGCTTTTTTCTTCTCAAATTCCTTCTCTGTTTCTGCCATAGCAATTTCAGTTATCCTAACCTAAAGAGCCCAACTCAGCTTTGAGGAAAAGCAAAAAAGCTATTGTGCGTTTATGCTCTCTATGACAACCTGCCAGACAGCTCATCCTCTGAAAATGAGTGTTTGTCTGAAAAAGTGTGTGTAGAGAGGTCAATATGGCTTGTATAGAAATACCTGAGAAATGTGAGAGAAAGCCTGCAAATCCTGTTTGGATATGAATTATAAAAAAAGTATAGTATATTGTTTCTTCTAAACTATAAGCCAAAAAAAAAAAAAGAAAATAATTAACTTTTTAAGAGATCTAGATACATATTTCTCATGTTTGATGTAACAATAAGCATTACTTTTTTGCGGTATTGTTAGAATTGCTATGTGCTCTGAATTTTGAAGTGTTCATTGTGAGTTTCTTAAACTGTAAATAGTTGCTAGGTCTATTTTCAAGCTGTTTCACCTCATTAAAGAGATTTGACATAGGATAAAATTATCAGTAGTTATTCAGTTTGACAGTGATACATAAAGATACACCTAAACACTAAATTATCAAATTGTTCATAGTAATTCCACAGCAAGTTGTATTTTCAAGTTAATGTTGCATAAGACAAATCTGTATTTAAAAGCCATTTTCAAAACTCTTTTTCTTTAAATCCTCTTCTGTGATTTCTGTTACACTCCAAAAGCTAGAATTAACTGTGAAAACTTGCCGTATATGTTTACAAAGACAGGATTTTATGAAAAGAAATCTTGTTTTGCCAAATTTGTAAGAATTCTGGTTTATTTCATTTTGTTGATCAGTGATGGCCATCTGTTGAAGTCGTTTGATGTCATAGTATAAAGCATTTCTCTTTTTCCCCATTTCTCAGCAGATAATGGGCATGGTTTGTTGATGTGTATCTGAAGCACTGTACCACACTTGCAATCACACGTCAGGCATATTGAAATTGTATTCGTAAAATCAGATAATACACTTATGTCGATTCACTTTTTGGTTTCTAAGTTCATAAAGCCATCTGTCAACCAACACTAGGCTGATCTCAGTTGTGGAATAATTTGGATGACGTTAAAAACTTTATAGTAAAGCAAATTTGCCTGTAGTTAAACTTGAATCTTTGTTCACAAACCTCAAGTTATCTTCTGTGTAGCCCTTTTTAAGCAGTGTATGAATGGGAAAGCCATAAAGTAAACTACTTTATTCAATCTCCTTTTTCCTCCTCAAAAGAAGCTTGTGGAACTTGTGTTGGAGCTCTTGAGCTTGGACTGTACTTGCTTTTTCTCGTATCAGTTTCAATTGGGAGGATTAGGTTGATGGTTCCATTTGATGCAGGTTTTAAGTAGCTTTCTGTTCCATGAAAGGAATATTCATCCCCTAATACAGGAGAAGATAGAACATAAACGGTTGAAAATGAAAAATCAAGCTGAAAAGACCAATAAATAAAAATTAACAAATTGGATGCTATAGCAGATCAAATTTATAGGAAATAAGACATGCTGTGAAAGTGTGCATAAGTGTCTTCGACTGGCAGAAATTAATGTGAAGAAAAGAAAGCAATGGAAGAGAGAGATCACAGAGAGAAAATACAGCATGTTGGAGGGGAGGGTAATGTCAATGCAAGTGGAAAAAAGTTTTAAAACATAGTGTTTTTTACAGTAGGAGTAATTACATGAAAACCACATGTGATTTGTCATTTTTAGGCTGCTACTGGAAGCAGTTAGTTTGTTATTTGTAATGTCTTCTAAAAGAGAGAAAGAGTAATCTTTGTGATCAAAGTGGCCTTTGTAAAACATCAGTTTCTACATTTGAGTTTTGATTTTTACCACAAA